TATGTGTGTCAACTGCTATTGTTGAACTGGTTAATTCATTAGAAGGTCTTAAAGGAATACAATTTTTTCCCATTGTTACATGATTTTTGTTCCCAGGAGGTCTACTGACATTTTCTTTACCAGCCATTTTTGTTTTAAATTTCAGAACTTTTGTCTCTTCGTGGACTTGGCCCTCAGAGTTCATCACTTTCTGGTCTCTGCTGGGTATGTGATTTTCCTGTTTGTATGCAAAAAAAGTTTTTCTTTTTAACATATGTTCCTTGAGTTTTTGTCTTCTTTGTTCTCTGAACGCGGGCTGAGCCCTCTGGTTTGGGGGCAGCTGCAGGTCCTGGGGCACGGCTGGGGTGCTTATGGCTGCTACCCGACGGGGATGCGTCTCGGCTCCCGCAGCCCCGGACTGCGCAAGCCGAGGCTCGGGCACACAGAGCACGCCGCCCTCCACATAGGTATGCTATTAAATTTGATTTTCTCCTGTTAATCTGTTTCATATGAGTTTGATTCTTAGTCCAGCCAAAAGAATCTCAAAGGGCATAGGAAATTCTTCCTCTCCAACAGTGGTTTTCCAAATTACTCTCTCACATTTATATATGTTTGAAATTTTCCAGAATACAATTTTTTAAAGTAATGCTGTCGTGAAAACTTCTCTGGAAAAGGGACATTAAAGGAAGCAAAGGGAGATGGTAAAAAATGAGATATGGCTGATAACAGAGGAAAGAATATTTCAGGGAAAGAGAAAAAAGAAGTGCAAAAATCTTTCAAGGATAAGAGTTTAGCATATTGAGGAATAAGTAAAAATAAGTGTGGCTAGAGCCAAATCAGGGAGGAGAAGGGTAGGGGGAACTGAACAAAAAGGAATTTAGTTAGGCATTCATTCAGGCCTTGCGTATATTTTCATTTTGGTCTGAGTGTGATGATGAAAACATTTTGGAAGTAGAGGGGACATGTGTTAAATTAAAAACAAATCTCAAGTCAAATATTTATGTTAACATTTTTATAGGTATACAGTCAAGTTCTGAGCAACTGTGTTAGCACAAGGAGATGACATAAGATATTACACTAAAACAAGTGAGAAGAACTAATAGCTTGAATTGGGGAAGTGGGCACATGTAAGGTGGTGAAGAGTGGCTAGACTGGAATACTTGATAATAAATTTTATGTGGCGTATGAGGGAAAAAGAAGAATCAATGATGTCTGATTCTCTGAGCAACAGAGAGGATGTTGCAATATTACTGAGAAAGTGAACACTGGGGATTGGTGATAATAGTTTGGGCAGGGGAATTATGTTTTCTGTTTTGGACATATTAATTTTGAGATACTTATTAGTAATCCAAGTATATGTTTTGAACATGTAGCTATATCTTAGAATTAAGAACTTAGAGACAATCTCTGGACTGGAGTCTTCACAGTTATCAATATAATAACAACATTTAAAACTACATGAGCAAAAAAGTGTGGGTGCATACAGAGAAGAGTAGATGTCCTAGTAGTGAATCCTAGTTTATTCCAACTTCAAATAATTGGAAAGGAAAAGAGAAGATAGAAGAGGAAATTGAGAGGGAACACAAAAGCAATAGGAAGAAAATCAAAGCGTGTGGTATCTCTATAGCCAAGTGTATAAATATTTAGAGAAGTAGGGGTTTTCTACTTCCAGGAGATGGCACACTAGATGTACAGAGAAAATGCTCCCAGTATAGATTCTTATGAATGATGGACATAATATTTTAAACAAAGTTGTTTTTAAGATTAAACGGAGCAGGTGGTAATGTTAGGGAAACAACCAGATGCCAATAATGACAAGAAAGCTGCATTCCACAAACATAAACTAACACTGGAGCTGGTGTTTTCCTTCAAATTATTCTTCTGTTGCCTGGCGGCCTGGACCCTGGACTTGAAGAACCATCTATGTGCAAGTAGAGGAGGAGAAAATATAGATTGATCTGGGCGGAAAATGGAATCGCAGATGCCCATATAGAGTCAGGACCCAACTGTTGAACTCAGGGAGAAAAAGGCCCTCAAAAGGAAACTTTCCTGTCTCAATCTTGTTTTGAATAAAGCAGGGGTAATAAAAGAGCTTCCTTGAATAAATCCTAACTGCACATCACTATTCACTCAGTGGGTGTCTGAATTCTTTCTGTGGTCTGAAAAGACTTGAGAATTGACATTAAAATTTTTCATAGGGTGGTTATACCATCAGGCTCTAGGCAAGTGCCTGACAGAAATAACACACTCTTCCTTTCTCGAAGAACACATTTTAGAAACAGACTTAAAAGATTTGACAAAGAATAAAGGAATGTGAGCTGATAATCAAAGAATAATAAAAATATTTTGAAACAAACCTTGATGTCAAAGACTGCTGAAAGGTAGGGCACAATGATGTTGATGACCTTGAAATGAGTGTTTTGTCTCCAGTTGTGAAGAGGAAACCCTGACAGGACTGGGTTCAAGAGGGAATGGAGGTTGTATTCATGTCCTATGGCTGTTGTAACAAATCACCACAGATTTAGTGACTCCAAACAGCACAAGTTTATTATCTTACTGTTCTGGAGGTCAGAAGTCCAAATGGACTAAAATCAGTGTTTTGACAGGACTGCATCGCTTCTGGAGGCTCTAGGGGAAAATCGGCTTCCTTGTCTTTTCCAGCCTCCAGAGGCTGTCTGCAAGCCTACTTTCATGTCCCTGTTCTCCATTTCAGTGCACCTGCTTCCACACGTGTGTGTCCTCCCTTGGTTCTTCTGCCACCCTCTTTCATCTTTTATTTTTTTTTAAAGATTTATTTATTTTATTTATTAGAGAGAGAGAGCATGAGAGGGGGGAAGGGCAGAGGGAGAAGCAGACTCCCCGCTGAGCAGGAAGCCCGATGCGGGACTCGATCCCGGGACTCCAGGATCATGACCTGAGCCGAAGGCAGT